GTGTGATGGGTCGTTGGCTGCCGATACACGAGCAAGGGATTCCAAGGTGGAAAAGGTATGCGTGTGTGAGTGTGTGTGTGTTTGGCTTTAGATGACAGTAAATGTTGGGCCGTATTATTGTGATCCACAGGCCTCCCAGTCTGAAACACACTAAGCCCACTACGGAAATTTCACCAACACCAACACTCATCTCCAACAGCGTTTTCCATCGTACTTTGGCTGCTCAAAGGACAACATGTTAAACACACCCTCCATCTAATCCTCCAGTATTAACTCTGTACTTTGGTCTGCTTACCTTATCTATAACTCTGAATTTAAAGCTGTGGTATGCAACATGTTTCTGGCATTGGACAAAAATGCATTATAACCTTTTAGAATGGTAAATGGCCTGTATTTGTATAGCGCTTTACTTAGTCCCTTAAGGACCCCAATGCGCTTTACACTACATTCAGTCATCCACCCATACATTCACACACTGGTGATGGCAAGCTACATTGTAGCCATAGCTGCCCTGGGGCGCACTGAAAGAGGCGAGGCTGCCGAACACTGGGGCCACCGGGCCCTCTGACCACTACCAGTAGGCAACGGGTGAAGTGTCTTGCCCAAGGACACAATGACCGAGACTGTCGGAGCCAGGGCTTGAACCGGCAACCTTCCGATTACAAGACGAACGCCCAACTCTTGAGCCACGATCGCCCCAAATAAATCCCCTGATTCTAATAAATCAGAATAGCCAGAACTATTTTTAGATGTCGAGTAAAAGGACACTAAAGAAAAAACCCAGAAAGCGATGTTTGTTTACATCAGAAATCAACTTCTGCCAATTCTTAAAAGTTAGATAATTCTGTCAATGTCAAAACGATTACCTTATTTAGTGAAGATCTACAGTGAATTTTAATCAGACTGAGAAAAAAAATCTTGCACAGGTTAACAGGGCTACCTTAAAATCAACTGATAAAGAAACAGTCATGCAGGAATAGAGATCCCTGCATCCACAGTTGGCAAAAAAAAATTGTTGCTTCTCTTGAAACGTGTCAGTTGCAGTGGTAAGACACATTTTACTTTGAAAGCGAAGGTACTTAATTTCTAGTTTCCATTGCAGTTTTAT